GGGCAGAGGACAAAGGGCCTCTGCTGAGATGCATTCAAGAGGTGCAAAGTGCCCATCTCTTCCTGTCACCACCCTTCTGGTACCCATGGGACCAGGCCCTTGTCAGCCTGCCAAGGCCGTCCCGAGAGCAGCAAGCACAGGGATGGGGGCAGGAGCCCATCACACCCACTCCTCCCCTTCCAGGTCTCCAGCCTCAGCAGAGAATGGGGTCAGCCACTCACCTCTAGGGTTTCAGCACAGCCTCAAAGCCTGGAGCACAGCTCCTGACAAGGGACCAGAGGATGCAGTATGAAGAAGGCAGGGGCTTCTCCTACAGGACGGGGCCACCTTCCAACCTCCATCCCTACCCTATGATGGCAGCATCCAAAGTCACTCTGGGAAGGGGTAGGAGGGCAGGGTGTCAGGCCAGTGTTGTACGAACTACGTCACACAGCTCCCAGCATGACTGTATGATGAAACCGGCCCTTGGCACGAAGAAGGGACCTCCAGGCTGCTTCCTCATCCACTCAGGGGGACGAGTCAGAGCAGCTCAGTCACTTATACACAGGACGCCCATCTCTCTGTCAACAGAAATTGGTCTGTTTTATCCTCAGGAGAAAAGCACAGTTTTGTATGTAACCTCCTTAAACACTTCCTCAGATCCCAGAGTCCCAGGGTTCCAGTGCTGCACAGATTTCTCCTCCTCCCCCCACCTCCTTCATTGCTGCATCACCTTCCCCTCTCTTCACCTAGATCCTTAACAGGAAAGTCTCTCTTGGAGATACCACAAGGGACACAAGTGTCATGGGGGCTACTCAGGCCAACACTAAGGGGGCGGGAACTTTCAGCTGGCACCACCCAGAGGGATCCTATTTCAGTCCCCAGGGCCAGCTGGACCCAGAAAGGGACAGCCTTTACCCTTCTGGTGGCCAACATGCCACAACCTCAGCCAGTCTGCCACAGCCGTGGACATGAATTGACACCCCAATCTGGGGCCTCAGAAGGAGGCCCCTAATCACAGAACAGATGGCCACATACCGGCAGAGACACCTCCTGGAGGAGGCTGGGCCAAGGTGTGTCTGGTACATCTCAGCGAGCATGGCAAGAGCAGCTGTCACTGCTGTCACTGATTTTAGATGGCATTTCTTATGGCGTGGCTCAGGGACCACCTGCATGAAACTCACTAAGGCACTTGTTTTTAAAAGTGTACATTCTGGGGCTTCACGCCAGATCTCCTAAAGCTGAATCTCTGTGGAGAGAGCCCAGGAATCTGCATCTTTAGCCAGTCTTCAAGGTGATCCTCTTGCACACTAAAATTGAAAATTGCTACTTAGAGGAAGTCCCAGTATTGCCCTATAATGCCAGTGACGTTAGGGAAAGAACCAGAAGCTACGGTCTTCCTACTTCTCCCACCTGCCTTATTCCTCAAGCACAGGTCTTTAACCTCGTCTGTCCTCTCCAACAGCTGTGGCAGGCCTACAGCCTGGCTCCATGGATCAGAAAGGGGAACTCAAGCCAGCACCAGGTTACAAGGGTTCCAACAACTCAGTTATGCGTTTCCCGAGAGCCAAAGCCAAAAGGCAACTATGCTGGTAACACAGTCTTCTTAATCCATTCATTCAACATGTATAGGAGGCTCAGTACGTATCAGGCACTTTGCTGTATCGGTATGTTTCAGGCCCTGCTTACACAGAAGCAAAACAAACAGATATGGTTCCTACCCTTACCTCCCAGGTCCTCAGGAAGAGGAAAGCATTTGCTTACATTTAGCTTCAACAGCAATTTCCTCACGTAGGGATCACAGATCAAATAAATAAACAAACAAATTAAGCAAGTGCTGTTAACAGATTCATAATATTGTTCCTGGTAGCACCTCTTAGTAAGGCTAAGGATCCCACCATAGTGAAAGCAATTGGAATTCAGAATGGTCCCAATAAAGAAGTTTCTTGTGATGTGAATTGTTCCAAGGATAAATCCTAAACTATGCAGAAGAAAGGAAGGACCATTTGCCCTTCAACTGTATCAACAGAGAAAATGCTTTGGATATAAGCAAGAGAGTGGGATATAAAATGTTATGCTCCACGAGGTGACAATCTATATGCATATGAATAAAGATAAGAAAGGAATATGAAGATTTAAAAATAAAAAAAGACATAAGGGCTCAGGCTCCTGGGGGAGGGGGTGCTCTTAAATCTTAAAATAACAACTTATCATTGCCATCACCTGGCCCACTAGCTCCTGCATCCAAGCCTATTTTAAATGCCTCCTTCAGTCTAGCTGAGAGCTAAGCTTGGAACCATGGGCTCCCTTAAGGGCCCCAACTCCACACCTATTGCTGTTCCAAAGCAAATGGAGTGACGTTATGTGACTTTCAGTGACTCTACATAGACAGGCCTGCAGACAAAGACAGTGCTCAATGCAGGGCCCCATGAACTCCCTACCTCGGAGCACAGCCACTACCACCGTGGGCCCCTGAGGCCACAGTGACAAGAGACAACAGAGGGAAAGAAGGATTCCCATTCCAGAGATGACCCCCCAGAAGACCAGGTGATTTCTCTCCATGCCTCCTGGGCCCCCTCGCCATGGATGCCACGGAGAAGCTGCCCGATACACTCTTTTGTTTTGTAGCAAGAGAATCACAAACAAGAAAGATAACAGTCAGGGAGACAGCAAACGCAGCAAGCTCCTTCAGACCCTCATCGATGACCGTGGTGGGCCCACAACATTCCCAGACACAGAAATCCAACACCTGTGGAGCCCTAGACAGACAGACAGTGAAGAGTGAAACCCAGCCCCAGCTGCCGCACCTTTATAAAATATACAGCGTAAACTGAGAGGCTGCAGCGAAGCCACGGCCTTCACTCCCTAACCCCACGGGCACCAGCCTAGTGGGCACCCTGGCCCAACCCTCCTCAGGAATTCACATCCCCCATGCCCACATCTACAGCACAGCCTCTGGACTGCTCCCTCCATCTCCAAGACAACACCCTCCCACTCTCCCAACCTCCAAACAGTACTGGCACCTACGTATTTCTGACCTCTCTTGTTGGTATCTGTGTCTGTCAGCCAGGACCAGGCCTCTGTCCCAAAGTTAACCTGGCACACCAGCCACATAACAGAGCCCCAGTTGTGGCATAACCATCTCGAGAGAGGGGGAGTTGCTGCCCGAAGCATATGATCTAACACAAGAATCTTCTTCTGGAGGAAAAAAACCAAAGAGAAATAAAACCTCGTCCAGTTTGGGCAGGGAGAGAAAGGTATGAGCTGGGAAAGGTGGCACAAGGTTGAAAGAAGTGAGACTGGAAAGGGACATGATCACACAGGTTAGGGAAGTTCAGGTGGGTAGGGAAGGAGCAGAAAATGACAGCCCAAGGCAGGCAGCTCCACAAAGTCAGCACACCAGCTAACCTCACCCCAGAGTTCGGCTCCCAGCTGTCTCTCCCTCCCTCACCCCGAGGTCAGAGAACACTGGTGAGATGAGGAAAGCAAAGCATTGCATCATTAACTGGAGACACCAGACACCAACCCCATTTCTGACGCATCCAGGCTATGCTGTGTGGGCACGGGGAGGTATCTATTCTCAAACTGTCGTCCCTGCCTGCACCCTGCACCCTTGGCAGAGGATGTCTGCCAGAGCCCAGCCCACCACGTTGTCCCACCACCCCATAGGAGAAGGGCATCTGACTGCCCACATATCTCTATGGCAACCATCGCCTCCAACTCAAGGTACCCAGAGAGAAAGAAAACAAACAAATAAGTCAACTTTATAGCCAATGTAGACGAATGGCAAGCGATGGGCTGGGAGGGAGACAGTAAGACAACCCCTGCTTGTGGGGATGGAAAGACGCATTTCCAGCCAGGAGGCAGACACAGCCCTGTTAAACAGGTCCCAGAACAACTGGCAATATGACAGAAGCCCACTGTCATTTTATAGCTTCTCCAATGCTTGGGGACATCTCTTACCTCAGAGACACCCAGGTCATCACTAGCTATGGCCCACGTCTCCCCTAGGGCACTTGTCCTGGCTCCTGATATATTTATGGCATCCTATTGCCAAGTCTTAATTCCTTTCTCTGAGTCTCATAACCTTTGTCCCCATGCTGCACCCTGCAGCCCTCGATGACCTGACCCATCCACATATCTCCATACTCGCCACACCTGTTCACAGAGCACTTCTCACACTGCTAGGTCTATACCTATCAGATGAGGTGAGTTTGGCAAACACCCAATACAAAGTGCAGGGAGTGTAGGTTCAAGGTGTGAAAGACAGGACCTGACCCTCCCAGCCTCAGGTACTTGGGAGGATCTCACTAGACAGGCTCTCAGGCCTGGGCCTTCACAATCCTCAGACCCCAGGCCATGTTGCTCCCACCCAGACCAGGCCGCTGAGATTTCCAAACCATGAGGCATCACCCTCCACCCAGGACAGACTGCATCTGCTGCTGCAACACCAACTTTGTAATTTGATCAAAAAAGCAATCAAGTTCATCTGGCAGGATTTGTTCCCGAGAAGCCCTCGCCAGTAGCAACCTCCCCTGATGTTTACAGATTCCCTTCCCTTGGGAGTCTGTTCTGCCGCCTGGTGGGCAGGGGGAGGCTGGATTTGTCAGAGCTGTTCACTTACTGCATTTCCATCTTAAGTCACCACTGGGGCACAGGGACTAGGGGAGGCCAGGAGCAGCTACCACTGCCCCAAACACAGAGACTCCAAATGCCCCCAGTGAAAAGCTCTCCATTCCAAGCCACCCACCACTCCCCAGATCCTCCCCCTCCATAAAAACCAAATTCCCTTGAGCCTTCAGGGACCACTCCTTCCTGTAGCAACCTACATATCTTACATCTTCATTCTTTTCTACCATTCCCCATACAATTCCTTGCCTGGCTACAAAGTCCACCCACCCTAAAACTCCAACTCTTCTCCAAGATCTAAAACACACCATTTCCAACTGCTGGAGCATCTTCAGAAGAATTCATAGCCCTTGGAGGCACCCCAGGGAGAGGCCAAGATGGTGAATACTCACCCCGGGCAGATAACTTCTTGGTATTGATGATTTTTGCTGCATACTCCTGCGTGGAGGTTTTCTTCACACACCTGCGGACCACAGAGAAAGCACCCCTGGAGGGAGAAGGGGGAAAGAACTGGGACACGGAGCAGAGCAGAGCAACACAAACACACTTTAGGTCTGAGGATAGCAATGCCTCCATCACCAGACCTTTCTTTAGTCAAAATCCCATACACATCAGCATAGTGATTATCACCACCCAACATAGGGCAGAAGGATGTGGCCTCTGCAGGACATTCAACAGATGTGGGTGGAGGACCACCCTACTCCTACCCCCATATCTAGTCGCTGAGCACAGCAACAGCCCTAACCTCAGGCTGCTCGTCAAGAACTGGTGGGAGACGCTTAAAACACACACCTGCTGCATCTCACCGACAGCCCTGCAGTCCCAGTCAAGAGAGCCGGGAGGAGGGAAGAGACCCTGCCCTTTTCTCAGCAGGAATAGTTGAGGGTAGGGGAAAGAGACATTAGGAAGAGGGTCTAATCTCCTGAGAGAGAAATCTCAGCCATGGGGAGAGTGAGGAAAGTGAGGCTCAAATACCCCACAGCTGGCTTCATCCCACTGCATCCCGGCTCAACTGACAGCAGGGAAAGAGAGGATCTAGTTGTGGGTCTCAGACATAAACAGTTCCCCTTCCCCATGGTATTTCCCTCTACGTCCGCCCCGAATGGGAGCTCGTACTC